TGAGGGAACCCCGTCTGTAGCACGGCTTGCTACAATGGATTAGTTGTTTGGTCCACAAATGTCAGAAAATGGTGGCAAATGTTGGTCAAAGCCAAAGGTGACATCCTCAAATCTCCACAACCCAAAGACATTAGAGTCCGACTCTCTGCAGAATACTTGAATTGTTATAGCCACTCAGCTTTTCAGAGCTTTTATTGTGGCGGGCTGAGGCCTCAGTCTCAGATACGATTACATTGATACATTCTCTGTTTGATATCACTGTAAACTGACTGTTGTGATGATGGACATTTCTTCACTATTTTCTGATGTTTTATAGACTTAACAACACAATGACAAACTGTAAAACCAGAGACAGCCCTGCAGTCTCAGAGACGTCTTCGTTCTACAAAACCAACCTAAAAAGCTTTGATAAGGAAGTGGAAATGATCTGGATTCAATGAACAAATGGAGAACTGGCAGCAGAAAGTTTTAGGCTGCAAGGATTCTGCATGTTGTGTCTTCAGAGCAGCAGACAAAGAAATGTGGACTTGTGCTGGCGTCTGACTTGTGTGATAAAATAGCTCCACAGTGATTACAGCGGTGATGTTTAATGGATCATTTTATAGCACCCTGATAAGAGAGAGAAATGCTTTCTGCTCGGGCAGTCGACCAGATCAGGAAATGCTTTGGAGTTTTATCTTGTGGGGGCTGAGAAGAGAAAACTGCTTTTTATCACGCATTGTTTGCAGCAGGAACTTCCTCACTGGGTCACGTGATGCATTATGTTGTAATTTGTTTAAATTCACCACTGAGACGTTTCCCCTCTCGGGGGGCCTGAGCGGTGTTCGGTGTGCTGGATCAACGGGGAGGTGTTGTGCTTTGTTGGTGATGATTTAAAAGTGAAGGATGGAAACAGTCAGTGTCTTTGTATGTGAGCTTTATGCACTGAGGATTTAAGATGCAGACTGCATTCAGAAGGTAAAGCTCTGAAGAGTCTGGACTGTGTTTAGGGCGTGTCCAGCGGTCGGGGTGTGCATCTCAATCCGACACATATCCAGATACATGGGCTACGAAAGTGGAAAAGTCTTTAATATCGTATCAGTGAATGTTCACACTCCCAGTAAACGGGGCATTGTTTGCGTAGAGGGATCTTATTTAGTCTCTTTAAGGACCAGCGTGTTGGGTTTAGGGGCATATAGCGGTGCCGTTGCAGATATAACTCCCTCGCTTCTCCCTCCCCTTCCACACGCTCACACCTCATCTCGACCAATAATCAGTTATCAATAAACTCCCATCCCTACCCGCCTGCTCACATCCTTCAAACTCCACCGGTTAACAAGATGAGCTGCAATAATCCAGAAGCTTTCCTTTGGTCTTATTTCTTTAAGAGCACACACACATACCTTGGAGCAGTGAGTGTGTTTCATTGGCCTTTTATGGACAGAGTCTCTGTGGCTGCTCAGAGCCCAACAGAATAAACACAGTTTGTGTTGTATTTGATCCTTTTTACCCTGTTTCCTTATTTACTCCTCAGCCTCGGTGTGCTCAGCGTCTGTGTCAGTGTCAGTGTCTGTGCTCTGTGTCTGTGCTCTGTCTGTCTCTGTGTCTGTGCTCGGCGTCTGTGTCAGTGTCTGTGTCTGTGTCTGTGTCTGTGCTCAGCGTCAGCGTCAGTGTCTGTGTCTGTGCTCAGCGTCAGTGTCAGTGTGTCTGTCTCTGTGTCTGTCTCTGTGTCTGTGCTCGGCGTCTGTGTCAGCGTCAGCGTCAGTGTCTGTGTCTGTGCTCAGCGTCAGTGTCAGTGTCTGTCTCTGTGTCTGTGCTTGGCGTCTGTGCTCGGCATCTGTGTCTGTGTCTGTGCTCTGTGTCTGTCTCTGTGTCTGTGCTCGGCGTCTGTGTCTGTGCTCTGTCAGTGTCTGTGCTCAGTGTGTTCAGTGTCTGTGCACTGTGCTGTGCTCGGCGTCTGTGTGGCACTGATGGATATCAGTTGACGGTAAATTCTTTCCTTCAGCCGCAGGGAGTGTCGAGTTGGCACAAAATGAAACAGACACAGAAATAGATTCAGATGTTGATCCGGACTTCAGTTGGTTCAGGCTGTGGGGTCGAGTTTTAACTTTTATGTTTTTTTTAATGTGATTATTGGTTTTATTTCTGTTTATATCTACATAAGTGCTGCTATCGGATGATGCTGCAGCTACTGACTGTTTTCACTGCTGATGAACCTGCAGATTATTATTAATATTAATAGAGGTGCATTATGGTGATGATGTATTTTCGTAATCCAACTTTAGCTTTTTAGAATTTAGCATCCTGGCTCCTTCGGGCTGATGCTAGCTATCTTCTAGCTAATCTAGCAAATTAGCTACATCAAGATTGATTGAATAGTTAGCTGGTGATTTGCTAACATTAGCTGACTGAACATGTGACTGTATGTATGTAACTTTTATCTTTTAACCATCCTCAAAATGTGGTTGTCTTT